GGTTAGTTAGACCTCCCTCACACTAAAGAAGTGCGGAGCAAGGAAGGCGTAACCCGATCAAACTCCCCACGATTATGGAATGGAGGACAGGACGCGCAAACCTAGGTGGCGGACCCTTGGAGTGCTATAAAAGCCCAACGGAGCCTCAACCAAAGGTACGAGAAATTCAATCGAGCACTAAGAGATCGTTGCACAAACACTGACTTGAGCGTTGGAGTGTCTTTTGCAGGTACTCCCCCTATTTACATCGTGCATTTTCGAAGAAGCGATCTGGAGTCCTTTCCAATTGAGGAAACGTGCGGATTTTAGTCAAGGACCTGTGGAGGCATTTCTTATTGAAAATAAATCCTACTCCAACACTAAAGTTTACAATTTATAAACATGTCGTTATCTTCTTCCCAATATTTCCCCCAATTTGTTAGACCCCAATAGCATAATATACCCTAACATTGGAAAACATAATGACCAATTTGGCTAAATTTTTTACTCAATGATCAAATTGAATTTTCATGTAAAATCTAATGAACAAAAAAGTATTTAATCGTAAAAGGTCACCATCACATTATCAACACCCTATCAAATACCATATCGACTAGTCTATTCATCCTTTCATGCGTATAAAATCTACCTATTTGGACCTATATATATAGTCAAGCTTTTAGGGGAGAAGGTGAGAGAAGATCATCCAGCCTTTATATATTTTTGGTCTGAAAAGATCATCAAGCCTTGTATCAGTATTTGGGGTAGAAGCCGAGCCTGACTTGACCAAAGCCCATGTATTAAATTGGATCAAATCCTAAAACAGCAGTGAAAGCTAAAAAGATTAAACAAAAATAAATAAATAAAACAATTAGAAAAAGAAAAAGAACCAACTGAATTATGGTGTCTTTTTCCCATCTCTAATCTCCCATCTCCATTTCCCAAAATATGGTGTCTTTTTCATAAGCAAACGAAGATTAAATATTCGCACTCAGAAGAAAGCCAACTGATAAAAAAAGGGCAAAAAGCTCCTCCACAAATACAATGCCCGATTCAGTATGTAAGTTCTTTAGCTAAGGCCCAAGATAGACACTTTATGCGCGCAACCACTGGTCACTTAGAAGAAGACGATGCAGTGGTACTTTGTTGCCGCGCTGCTCACCGTCCTCACCAGCTCTCAGGTCTGTGAACCTCAATAATCTACAATTGCTGGTCGTTTTGTTGCTACTTTGCGTTTCACGGTCTTCTGGATCTCTCTTTGCTCTTTAACTATGAGTCTCACTTCTACAGTGTTTGGATTTTGAACCCATTTTCAAAATTTGGGAAATTTTTGCTCCAGTTGAGCCCAAATCAATTTAGTCAAAGCTTTTATTTTAATTCTGCCCAAAGTTCTTTTCTTTTTCAGTTTTAGTTTAAATTTTGTTTTATATTTACCTTTCTAATTATGTAATATGTGTGGTTAAGAGTGCCAGTGTGACAATGGCACATTGATTCTAACTGAAAATGGTAGAAGGAGGCTTTGAACTGTTATTACTTTGTAGCTTTGCATGCTTTTGTTGATTGAAAGAGCTGGTGAAAAGTACCACTATGCGCTACATTTCGTGAGCCTTTTAAAAGGACAAAACTATATGAAAGGAGATGTTGTGCTCTTCTCAAATTCCAAGTATTTGATCATTTAAATAATTTAGAGTAAAAACATGTAAACTTGATACTTGTAAGTTGTATCAAATTTTAAGGATGGATGTACTTGTCTGCGGTTTTGTAGAATTCATGGGTAAAGGAATCAGATGGACCCTCAAAAATTCATAATTTTAATGTTTTATGAAACTGTGTAAGGGTTTGTGATATAACTGCTGGTTCTGGATCAATTTGTGGTGTCTGAGCTGGCAGACTTCTATAGAACACATTGGGGCAACAAACTAACATTTATCTGCAAGAGAGTGAAATTTCTCTTGTACAAAATTATTAGCTTGTTTCTTTTCAAAATTGAATTGGTTTGTTACAGCTCGAGGAATGATCATTTTTCAGTATGGCAGTTTTAGCATGGATTTATGTGTGTTGCTAGAGAAAAAAATTTACTCAGCTTTTGATACACAATGATAATGATTTTTCCACTTCCCATGATGAGTGAAAACTTGTAAACATAGTTATTTTCTGGAAGTGGGTGTCATTGCCTTTTTTGGTATCATAACAATGAGCACTGTCAACATAAACTTTTCTAGACGTATTTCACAATTTTTTCTTAACTTTTCATGTCTGTGAAATACATGGAGTGAGAGAACTGTGGATCCAAACTTTTATTTATTTATGTTGTGTTGGCAGAGATTGACAGTACTGGTTTATAAAGTCAGTTCCAAAGAATGATCTATTCTTCAGTCTCCCAGAATGAATATTCATTCGCTCATAATTTTATCTATGTCAGGGAATCTTGACAACCCTTTCTCAAAGCAATGGAAAATATAAGTACGACTATGCAACTGTTCCGTTTCTTGCTGAAGTATTCAAGGTACTTCACTTTACCCATCTTCATTAATTGCATCACTTCTAAAGTCACAATGATTTTCCTCTTTTAGCCATCAAATTACAGATAGTTTTCCACTATATAATGACTTATTTTCTTTCCTCAAATATTTGATCCCTTTTAAGCTGTACTAATATTCATTGTTGTGTTCTTTAAATTACAGCTAGCAGTATCCAGTTTACTTCTTTGGAGAGAGTGTCGGATATC